ATGTAATGTATAAAAATAATGGAAATAAATCAAGTTAGAACTTAACTTATAGGAACATTTGATGATTACAATATATTATATGATACAAAACGACGTAGTATGATGAGTTTGGGTAACTAAGTTTATATATCTTTAAGGGTATATTCACTTTTCTCATATATATATATATATATATATATATATATATATATATATATATATATATATATATATATATATATATATATATATATAATACCCTTGTATGTTTTCATGTTTCTAGTAAGAACAAAGATGATTCTGTGGTTTTGATTTTTCATCGATAAAAAAACGTGTATAACTTTTTTTTTTAATGTTATATGAACGTTCAAATGTATTTCATTACCAAATATATTTATACGAAATTAATCAATTATAGGGTTTACGGAATAGTAGCGTAATGATGAATAACATGTGAAAATACAGGGAGTGGAAATGAAAATTCTTACTCTTCTATTAAGCATCCTTTACAAAAATTTTACCATCTTCTGCGCGCTAAGATGTTCTACCTCCGTAGCCACGTCGGGCGAGAGATTTTCTCAATCTATCACTTCAGATCTCATCTTTTTTACTCAACAGCAACTAAACTTTCATCTGTTGATGAATCTAAATCTGCTAAAAGAACCGAATTCGTCGATTTTCTCATCAACACACTCGGATTCTCCAAAGAATCCGCCATTTCCTCGTCATCAAAGGTACGCCGTTTGAAAACCACTCGAAATTGTGATTCTGTTATTCGTATCCTCAAAAATTGCGGCTTCGATAACGCCCAGATCAAAGACATAGTCGCATGGGTACCAAAAGTTCTACTATACAGAGCAAACGAAACCCTAGAACCCAAAATTAGGGTTTTTCTCGAACTCGGACTGACCGGGCCGGATCTAATAAGTCTTCTCAAGAGAAACCCTTGCTTATTCGATTTGGGTTTACATTCACGAATAATACCCACCATTGATTACCTTCGAGTCCTTCTGGGAACTAACGAAAAAGTGGTGGAAACTATTAACAGATCAAGATGGTTGTTTTCAACATCTATTGCTTTAAAGATGTTTTCAGACAATGTCTTGCTCTTACAAACTTATGGTTTCTCAAATGAGCAAATCAGTAAATTTGTTCATAAGAATGCTATGCATTTCACACAACCACCCGATTGGTTAACAAGTAAACTGAATTGGATAGAGGGAAAAGTAGGTATATCCCGTGATTCAACTGAGTTTTTTCGTTGTTTTCATGCAATTGCTTCAAGTAGTCTTTCAGGAATGGATAAAAAGATGGAAGTTTACAAGAGTTTTGGGTTTTCTGATACTGAATTATCTACATTGTTTAAGAACCAGCCTTACTGTTTTGCTTTATCAGAAGATACAATTCGTAATAAGCTTAGTTTCTTTATGAATGAGCTTGGGTATACACCTTCTTATTTAGTAACTTGCCCGAGTCTTTTCTCATTAAGTTTGGAGAAAAGAGTGAAACCTAGGAACAAAGTGTTGGAGATTTTGAAGGAGAGAATGTTGGATGAAAGAAAGTCTCTTATTACACTTGTTAGTTATCCTGAATTGAGATTTCAAGATTTCTTGAGGCGATTTGAGGACAAGATTCCTAGTTTGTATCAAACTTACATTAGTAGCATGAGGTAATAGTTTACCCATTCTTTTTGTTTTTGATCATAGAAATTCTAATGTGGAGTTAGTTTGTAGCATTTGAGAAGTTGCAATTCTCCATATAGATGGATGGAACTTTTGTTAGTTTTGGATATTGTATTTGTTCATGAATCATGATTGTGTTGCTATTAATATTTATCATAATCAATTAACTTTATTTTTCATCTTTTGAAATGGGTTTTTACTTTTACTCATTCCTTTTAAATCCATGGTGAAAGAAATTCTGTTTATCATACATCTACATTAATAGTTTTATCAATTAATTCATTTTTGTCAAAGTTTTGTAAGATTATCTCAATCTTTGCAATGAATGTTTTTCGCCTTCCTTTTTTTTTTTTCAAGTACATATTCACGGGGATACAAATTATAGTTATAGGAGTTATACTTTTTATTTGAGCATAGTATTTTGTAAAATTAGTTGGTAGTTTTTAAATGTGTACAATTAAATAAAAACTACTCAAAACTAAAAGCTTTGAAAAATTAAAAGCTATTTGAATTAGTTTTTGGATTTATTTTTGTTTAAAATAAAACTTAAAGGTCATGAATGATTTTTTTCCCCATCCTCTTAAAAAGCTAAAAGATAAAACCAACAAAAAAAATTATCAAAAACTATTAATCAAATTATAAAAGCAAACTTCTTGGCAAATAAAAAAGTTTAATTATTGCTTATATAAACTTTTGTGAATGCCAAAATAAGTATTATAAATGGTTAAAAAATGAAATATCTATTTTAATAAATGAATTTTTTTTATCGACACTCTCATTATATTAGTCATATAGCATTTCGTTGTTATTTTCAATTAAATTTTCTCCACATGATATTTTATGGTTTTTTATTTATTAAATCATACGTAATATTTAAATGTAATAATTATAATAAATGCATATCAATTTTATTAATTGACTGTACTTTTAGTTTTAAAATTTTATTTATCTAAATTATTTGTTTAAATTTATAAAAAAAAAAAAAAAACACATTAACTTTAATTTTAATAATTCGTTATTGTCATTCATCTTCCCTACCACGAAAACTGTTGACCCCAAATGGTTTTGGTGGTGTGTACGGACCACATCAACGACCGTCAACCATGAGACCCTTTATGGCCGGTATTTGGGGGGTGTTTGGCTTTGTTTTTAAAACAACTTTTGGACTTTTAACTTTTCTAAAAAGTTCAAAAGATGTTTGGCAAAATACAAAAGTCTTTTTAAATTAACTTTTAGTCATGCCTAAAAAGAAACCTTTTAAAAAATCATGAAATTCCATGTTTTTGTAACTTTTGACTTTTATCTCTTAAAAGTCTTAAAAATCCATCCAAACACATTTTAAATACCTTCTTCTAGAAAAAATTCTTTTATAAAAAGTTCTTTTTACAAAAGGACTTTTAACTCATAAAAGCAATCCTAAACACACCCTTGAGACGGTCTTATGAAAAAAATTGTTTTTAGAAATACTTTTCAATCATCCCATTTTCTCTTTAACTTATTAAGGGAATATGGCTTACCAAGGTAATTAACTTTTCGGTATGTTCACATTTGGGTAACTATCCTTTTTTTTGTACACATTTGGGTAACAAACTTGTTGGAAGTGTTCACATATAACCATTATGACCTGCTATAGCAGGTTAAATCCTAGATGTAAACGCTTTCAACAAGTTCGTTACCTAGATGTGTAAAAAAAAATAGTTACCCAAATATGAACAAAACGAAAAGTAAAAATTAAATTACACGAATGGTCCCTGTAGTTTGGGGGAATTTGTATTTTTGGTCCCTAACTTATTTTTTTAACTTGGATGGTCCATACTATTTATTTTTGTTGCGCGTTTGGTCCCTATCTTACCTAAAAAGATTATTGTGCCCTTATTAATTTATTTTTTAATTAATTTTCTTATTTATGTATTTATTTTTTACATATTTAAAAAAAATTAATAGACCACACATATTTGTATCTACTCGAATGATCCATACTATTTATTTTTTAATTAATTTATTTTTTTAACTCGGATAGTCCCTACTGTTTAATTTTGTTACGAGCTTGGTCTATGTCTTACCTAAAAAGACTATTATGCCCTTATTAATTTATTTTTTTAAATAATTTTCTTGTTTATGTACTTATACTTTATGTATTTAAGAAAAAATAGTAGACCCCGCATATATGTATCTCCTCACCATCCCGTCTCTCATCCTTCTCAGCTTCTACTTATTTTCCATTTTTAGTGATATCGACGTCTTCATCGTCACTTCTTTTTTCGGTCCTTTAACTCTGTCGAATCAATACCACAACCCACTAATGATGAAGAGACTGTAGGTTATGGTGTTGGTTCGCTAGAGTTGAAGTACCAAAAAAAGAAGGATGGTGAAGACGTCGATGTTACTAAAGATGGAAAAAAATAGAAGTTGGGGAGGATAAGAGATGAGAAGGTGACCGGTAAGACTCAAATTAAAATTTTCAAATGTGATTTCAGGATTACGGTGAGGAGATACAGATATGTGGAGTATATTAATTTTTTTAAATATATAAAAAATAAATATATAAATAAGAAAATTAATTAAAAACAATTAATAAGGGAAAAATAATCTTTTTAGGTAAGACATAAACCAAACGCGTAACAAAAATAAACAGTAAAGCCCTTCCGAGTTAAAAAAATAAATTAATTAAAAAAATAAACAGTAGGGTGGTCTATTAATTTTTTTAAATATACAAAAAATAAATAGATAAATAAAAAAATTAATTAAAAAATAAATTAATAAGGCACAATAGTCTCGTTAGGTAAGACAGGAACCAAACGCGCAACAAAAATAAACAATAAGGACCATCCAAGTTTAAAAAAAAATAAGTTAGGGACCAAAAACACAAATTACTCTAAACCATAGGGACCATTCGTGTAATTTATTTTTTACTTTTCGTTTTGTTCATATTTAGGTAACTATTTTTTTTGTACACATCTAGGTAATGAACTTGTTGAAAACGTTTACATCTAGGATTTAACCTGCTATAGCAGGTCATAATGGTTATATGTGAACATTTCCAACAAGTTTATTACCTAAATGTGTAAAAAAAAAGATAGTTACCCAGATGTGAACATACCGAAAAGTTAATTACCTTCATAAATCATATTCCCAACTTATTAACCTATAAAAAAATCAACCAATTACCTCATGGCATTTTTAATTTAGTGACTTTTTAAGAAGTGAACGAAGTTAATAACTTGTTTTCAAAAGCAATCCAACCACAATGGATCGAAAAGGGGACAAGACCATTTCGGCAGACACAATTAGCCGTTTTCCCAGTTCTCACTCACACTTTTGGGTTTGGGATGTTGAAAGATGTTCAAAATCTATCGAACAATTCCTTACTTCTTCCTGAGATCACATTTCCACTTCTCGATTACTTCCTTTTCATCCTCCTCATCGTCTACAAAAATCACAGAAATCGTATCTACAAATCCCTTTTTAAATTACCTAATCGATTCTCTCGGATTCCATGAAGACGACGCCATTGCTGTTTATTCAGAGGTACCTCATCTCAAATCCACAACCAATTCTAATTTAGTTGTTAACATCTTCAAAGAATACGGCTTAAACAACGTCCAGATCAGAGACATCGTCTCAATGGCTCCCAGAATTCTTACAGTCAAACCTAACAAAACCCTAGAACCGAAACTAAAGGTTTTCACGGAACTAGGGTTACTAGGGCCAGATCTCGTGAAGCTGGTTAAGAGGAATCCTCTTATTTTCTCCAGGGGATTACATACCCAAATCATTCCTACTGTTGATTATCTTCGAAATTTACTCGGATGTGATGAGAAAGTGGTTAAAATGATTAACAGATCAAAGTGGATGCTGTTACCCAACTCGTCTCTCAGAAGAATATCGGCAAATATATCATTGCTGAAAAAATACGGTCTCTCCGATGAAAAAATCTTGAAGCTTTTAGTCACTGATCCTCAACGTATGAAGCAGACACCAGAATTGATCGAAAGCAAGCTGCAATATCTTGAACAAAAATTAGGTATTTCTCGTGATTCACCTCTATTGATTCACGCATTGGTTGCTGTAATGTATCGTAGTGAATCAGAAATTGAGACGAATCTACAAGTTTTTAGGAGATTTGGTTGGTCTGATTTGGAAATAGGTAGATTGCTCAAGTCTCAACCTTACTGTTTGAACAAATCAGAAGCTTACATTGTTGATAAATTGAACTATTTCATGAAGGAACTTAATTATACTCCATCATACTTGATGGGTTCCACATCTTTCTGGACATTGAGTTTAGAGAAACGAATGAAACCAAGGATTGAAATTATCAAAATCTTGAAAAAGAAGGAACTGGTGAAAGAGTCATTGTCTCTTAGTACACTTGTTAACTATTCTGAGTCGAAGTTTCTTGGTTTCTTGAAGAACTTTGAGACTCACATACCTGGTTTATGTGAAATATATAAGAATAGATTGAAGAATTCGAAAGTAGTTGAATGATTTAGTTGTTTAAAGCTCCATTGACTAAAAGTCAACCTTATTGAGGGTGGTTCGTGAAACCACTATAGAATAGAAAGAATGATACATAAACATAAGAAGTGATTTTGTTAGTTTTAAACTCTGTTTTGCTATTAATAATTTGTCATTTGTTTAGAAGCATTTGGTGATATATTGGAATCAATGAAATAACTAACTTGTTCCATAGTTTGTTTTTTTGAACCAAATGTAACAATAAATTATCTTATGAGATCAATTGTACAGTTCGTATGTGTTTTTTGAACAGTTTTAAATAGTCCAATTATGACATTAATCCTATTGCAATATTTCGTTCCATTGTATGTTGAAATTAAAAAAAAAAAAAGAAAAATAGGATTGATATTTGACAAAATGAAAGGAGTTAAGGAATGTAGCTTTTCCTTCCATAGGCAAATCACGCATATTTTTTCACTGAACCATTTATTTCCTTGGTCAAATTCATCGACCAAACACTATCTTAAAATATATGAATGACTCAAAAAGTCAAAATGTGCAAAAGAAGTATTTCATATATGTAAACATGGTGAATATTTAGTTAAACGGATAATATATAGAAGAGCATCCAAATATGCAAGCAAAAGTTCTAAACTTCCAAAAAACCACTCAATTATAAAACGGCTAAAGAAGATTGTATAACTTTCAATTTGATATAATTTGATTCGACTTCTATATGGTATATTGTTATATCATACACTTTTAATTTCAAAATTAAATTGTTTAAAAATAACTTAATTTTGTAAGTTTATTTTGCAAAATTAAAATATCGATTAATTTGTAATTTGAAAATTAAAATACATGCAATGAAGACTTAGGTCATGCTAGACATATTAGCTAAAAGTTAACTAAGTGCTGGTTTATATGTCAACCAAGATGACGTTTGGTAACCTAGTTGTAAAATATAAGATGATATAAAAAAGCATATAGAAGAATTTGTGTTTTATATTTATTTAAGGGCATATTTGGAATATTTTAGAAAAGTTTCTAAAATACTAATCTAAGTAGTTTTTTTAGAAATGTAGCTTATAAGCTACTTTTCGACTTGTCAAACACGACAATTTTAAAAAGTTTGAAAAATAAGTTAGTTGTGTTGTGACAAACACAATGTTAGGCCCTTTTTGGCAAATTAGCTGAAACGTTAGTTTTTAACTTATAAGCTAGTTTGTCAATAAGTTATCTGGGTAAATTACATAAATCATCCCTCGTGTACATATCAGAAAACATGTTTAGTTTCTATTTTCAAAAACTAACTTGGATCGTTCATTGTTTTGTTTTTCCTTGCTTGCTTAGTCCTTCCGCACATAAAAAGATCATTTTACCCTTATTTATTTTTTTTGATTTATTTTCTATTTAATTGTTATTTGTTGATTTGTTTATTATACAAAATAAATATTATTGCATTTAAAAAAAGAAATGGACTGGTACATTTAATCACTCATCTCCCCTTCCCCTTCTTCTTCTTTAGTACATTTCATATCTCTCGTCACCACCCACAACGACCGACTTCAATGCTCTGGCAACTCCTTCAGAAACTCCTGTACATTTCCGGTTTCATACAGAGGAGATTGAATCCAAGACACCGGCCAAGTTCAGTCTCTATTTTGCTCTCTTCTCCTGTTTCCTCTATTCTCATCTTGTACTTACGTCTCACAAGTTTCAGATTTGGAAATGGAACCATTTGAGTTTCCGTATCTCAAGATTTTCCACATATTACCCAACACCACCCATCACTGCTAGCACCTTTGACACCACCACCTATCACTACCATGTCCTCCTCCAACTAACTCATAATCTGAAAACCTTGCACCTGGCTTCTTCCTTGATTTGAAACGCTAGGCGGAAATTGATCTGAACATATGTGAAGAAGGAGATCAATCTAAACATATGCCGACAACTTTTTCCTCGATCTTAACCTTACACCCGTCTTCTTCATCAATCATCCCTATATGCTTTCCATTCAGTTAGACTTATGGTTTGTATGATATCCTTACATGGAGCATCCAGAAATCCAGATGTAAAAGACATCCAAAACGGGTTTCAACCAATATGCAACCTTGTATAACCATGGCGCCGGAGATAGTGTCCGCTTCCGCCTCCGATTATAACGCCTTCTCCTCTGATTCGAATAGAGAATTAAGAACGAGTGTGACGGCTCTACATTACGAACGGAGATGAAGGAAAGAGATCGACTATTATTTATATCTTTTTGTCGATGGCTTCACCCCATCAAAAAATCAGATCGAGAGGAGGTAACCTTGCTCTTATGGTGTCTGATTTAAGATCCATGGTAGCTTTTAAGGTGCATATCGACTTCATGGGTATCTTGAAGCTTGCCAAAATCATATGATTTTGCCGGTGGGTTCTACAATATTGAAAGAAAAGAGAAGGCAGAGATGTGAGGGTGGGTGAGGGTGTGCCCAATTTCCTTTTTTAAATGATAAATAATATTAGATTAATTGGAAAAAAAATACACAGGGGCATTATAGTCATTTTAAATATGGTATGGACTAAACCTGCAATAAAATCATCTTTTAGGGATAAAACATGTACATTTAAACCAAACGAGGGACCATCTGAGTTAATTTTTGAAAATAGGGACTAAACGTGTCTTTCAGCACCTGCACGAGGGAAGATTCGTGTAATTTACCCAAGTTATTTAAAACTAACATAAGTTACTTTATAAACTATGATAAACTACTTTTTAGGGTAATTTGGGCTGGTCCCTAATTTATTTTTTTAACTCGAAAGGTCCCTACTGTTTGTTTTTCTTACGCGTTTGGTCCATGTCTTACATAAAAGGACTATTTTGCCCTTGATTTTTTAATTTATTTAAATAAACACACCCCCAACCCCACCCCTTCACCTTACCTTACCTACCCCATCATTTTTTCTTATTTAAATAGTAGTCTTTTTAGGTAAGACAATGACCAAACGCGTAACAAAAACTAACATTAGGGACCAAATGCGTAATAAAAACAAATAATATGGACCTTCCGAGTTAAAAAAATAAGTTAGGGATCAAACGCGCAAATTACCCCAAAATATAGGGACCACTCGTGTAATTTACTCTTATGGTTTTATCAAACACTAAATTACAATAAACTAGATTAATAAAAAGCTATATATACTAGATTTATAAAAAGCTATATGGACTAGCTTCTAGAAGCTTTTTTAAAAATTTCTAAACTTACCTTTAATTAATTATAAAAAAGATATATTCTTCTAAATGCTCTTTTATATAATTGTATATCTTTCAGCTAGCTTATCTGGTATTTTTACAAAATGTCATTTTTTAGCACTTGACTAATAAGCTAGCAGTTAGTTTTTCAGCCAACAACTAGCTTTTTAGCTATCAACTAGCAGTAGGGGTGAGCAAATCGAAATCACAAACTTTCAAACAAAAAAGAAAAAAACCAAAACTAAAACAAAAACCAACTGTTTAGGTTTGTAGTTTTTTAAAAACTGAAAACTTTGGTTCGGTTTCATTTTTAGGAATGTAAAAACCGAAAGAAATCGAATCGAAGCTAATGTTAGGTAATATATTTTTTTTCTCCAACTTTATGTTTTGACTTCTAGATGTGATTTCAATCATATGACTTGATGTTTTCTTTCAATTTTCTATCTAGTGAATTTGATTTTCTTTCAATCGAATGTTTGATTCTAATTGTGATTCTTATTGGCCATTTGAATTAGGGTTAGATCATTCAAGTTATCTAATTGCAAAATCCGTAATTGTTTTGTAAATTGGACTAGGTAACAAGCACTAAACTAATTTCTATTGAATGAATTTAGTGTAAATCTTGTTCACACATTCTTATGCTCCCGAGCTTATGAAGAGTATTGAGTGTTGTTGGGAACATTCACATAAAGTTTAATGCAATCTTTCAACCTATTTCTAAGAGCTTGTTTAGATTAGATTAGTAAGGTTAGGATTAATCAAAGAGCTTATTTTGGTTAATCAATGTGGTGAATGGGAGGTGCTAGATCTTGTTAGCATTTCTATGTACCAATTTAGATAGAATTGAACAAATATCATTTCTTTCTTGGAATCACATTGCTAATTTGTCTTGCATGGAGTTGGAGTCCTTACAAATCTTGAATCTACTTCATTAAATCAATCATTTACTTATTGATTTATTTTATAGTTTAAATCATTGCTTATAAATTTCCCCCATTCTGTGACCATTTTTGTACCTTACGCAAAAAGGTATAAACACTTGTCACGTATCTCTGTGGATCAACCCTACTTACCTTGTACTACATTATTAGTGCATAGTAGTAGTGTTTAAGGAGTCATTTGTACCATTTATTTGTTGGGTTTGACACGTCTAACACACCCCTCCCTAAGTACTACAAAAACCAGCAAGACACCACTGACACCAACGAAAAGAAATTAGAATTTATTTTCACAATCTTTTATCATTCATCCATGCTTTTTGGAAAGAAGAAATTCTCGGTTTTTTATTTCCTGATTTTTTTTGCAAAGAATTGTCATTTTCATAAATAAAAAAAGTATGTTATACATATAAAAATGGAAAATAATAACTTTGGATTTTTTTGTACAATATATAGTGATTTGTAATAAATATTGAAAAGATAGTCGAATAGTATTATAAGCTTACCTCTTTTTCATTAATTTTGATTTTTTATGATCAACTATATCGGTGCTTTTTTTTCTTTTCAAAATTTGAATCACTAACCTCTTTTTATTATT